TGTGAAAACTCTACTTGTTTTACTTTGTTAATATTATTTGATTCTGTGACAGAATAAGTTCATAAGTATTTGTTGATTTGCATTAAAAGGAGCGACCAGACGGTATTTCATCAAAAACGTAGCTTTTGTGCAGTTCTTAGTTAACTTCGCGGTCTCTTATCTTTACGCTGAGTATTATATTTAAGATAATAACTAATTTGAAAAAATAAATGAAATTGAACGCTAAGTAAAGATTTCTCGAAACTATTCTGCACATTATGGCGGATTAACTTCACATCGTGTAAGTAGTTATCTAAGTGATTTTATGCGTAAGCTATTACTTTTACTAATTGTCTAACACTCGATTTGTGAGCAACGTCACAGACATGTCACTAGTTACAAGGCAGCAACAAACACATTTTTCCGTGATTTCGTGCGCCTTAACAATTTTATTTTATAACAATGTATATATTGTGACTATTTCTTCGGAATATTAAATTTGATGCAGTCACGAAAACTTGTTGAAACCACATTGTTTTCTTTAACGTTCGCTGACAGAATGCGATTGTAAGTAAATGAATTTTTTTAATGTCAAGTGAAGTTCAGAGCATAAGGGTATACTATTACTTGACAAGGAAATGATGTCAGCTTAAATTAAAGCAGAGATCGACTCTGATCAATTGTTATAACGTTAAACAAATCAAGGTCATCCATTTATCTTTCAATGAAATCAATTTTTCATCATAAACCATATATAAAACCGCACAATTATCATTAAGTAGCCGATATTGAATAGCGCTGCTAGCCATTTCGTTGTTAGTGGATAATGCCAACGAAAAAAAAAAAAAATCACTAAATAATTTCTCCAAATTGAAGTTAAGCTTTATTCTAGAAGGAGTTAATTCAAACGAACTATTTGCACACATACATGTCTATTTAAAAATACTACATATTTGCTTAATTCTATATAATTGTAAATGCAAAGGAATAAAATAATTTGACATTTCATGCAATGTGTATGATGTACACAGCGAAAAAAGATCTACAAAAAAAAAAATTTGGATTAATGCTAAATATCGCTGATTGGCTTGTAAATTAGCTTAGCTTGTAGAGGGCTTACGAAGAGTTGATTTCTTGGCCGATATGTGACGAATTAGAATGAATTTTATTTTGTAATTTGATAATTTATGTGTGTAATAGATGCACATTCTTATACCCATCACCGAAGGATGAGGGGTATATTCATTTTGTCGAAACGTTTGTAATGCCGAGAGAGAAGCTCTAGAGACACCGTTAACACCTCTGTTTTTCGAAAGGAATAAAAAAATGATTTTCTGCGTATTACTCATAAACTTACAAAAACTTGAAAGCATAGTCCATGGGCGATGGTGCTAGTACCTGTGCAAAGGTAAAAAAAATTAACCACGCCTACCCAATGTTACAGTGCGTCATAATTTCACTTTTTTTCCAACACCTTTACAACACGCAGAAGCAAGCTTTAAAGATCCCAAAGAGTATATAAGGTCTAAGTCAATTTCAAATTCGTAAGCATGTCTTTCTCTTCCTCTGTCCATCTGTCCGTCTGCCGTCATAATTGTAGTAAACATTCTCCCGTTAGGGAAAATGAAGATATCGCCTAAAATTTTCAAAGGACACGCCTACGAAGCTCACATAAAATATTTTATTTTGAAAATACACAAAATCTGTCGCGCCCGCTCCATATTGTAGGGGATGAGAATATAGTTCTTTTACCTTTTTTTTGTCCTTTTTCGGATAATGGTGATGGGTATAAAAACTTCGATCACCACTGAATATGATTTTCTTACTTGGTTTTTTCTTTTTAACTTGTAAAAAAAAACTAAACGTTACAAGATGGTCCCTGCGATTTTTATTTGAAAATGATTGCATGTAAATGACCGCCTCAGGGCTTCAATTTTGGAACACTAGTTTCTGACACTTTTCCATATAAATCTCTTCTTATTTCAACTATAGCACGTACGATCTTCGTAAATAACGTCATTGAGTGTTTGCGGTTTATTATAGTAAGTTAATGCTTCAACGTAACTTTACACTAAGCGCTCTAATAGAGTTATATCGCTTAGTATTTGTGAAATACTCATAAATGCATTTTTCAAGATTCGATGATGGGCTTCGAACTTTTTGCACTGATCTGCTGAAACCCCATATATGTCATCTAAGTCAAAATCATTTAATTTCTACCACAACGAATCGGTAATCAGTTTTCTCTAGCGTTCTCTATTGCGGGGTAACTGCGATGCCATTTTGATGTTTAAAAATGACGAGTTCAGCCAACAAATCGCATCCAAAAGTCATTTCTGTACTCGTAAACGTTCTTTAGGAATATCACTTGTGTTTCGTTCACACTCAAAGACCAATAATCTCTATTTACGCTTTTTCGTACGCTGTACAACTATATAGGTACAATATTTCACAAACAATGGCGAGGTTTAAACAATGCATTGAAAAACAATTTGATTAAAATCTCAATTAAAATTGTATTTGATTTTACATTTACTTTCGGAACCACATATTGGTTGACGCTACGTAATCGAATGTCAAAACGACTTTACATAGAAGGATCTTATTCTTCAACTTATTCTTATTACTATTATTATTATTATTATTAGTATTATTATTGTTAACTTAGCCAGAGAAATAAACTCTAAGGCTAAAGCGTTTAAAGCGCTAGAATCTAATGCTATCGGCTTCAATGAAAACTCTACCCTACTTGATACCTGAACCCACGACCATGGAATTGTTAGTCGTGATCCTTCGCCTACTCGGCCACTGTGGCGGATAGTACCCAACTCAATGCATACAATAGTGTATTTATACCCTACGCCACTTGTGGTATATTATGGTTTATGCAAACGCATGCAACATCCAGAAGCACTTGAGATAGACTCATATTTTATTAAACCAATAGATTTCGAATTATATTCTGAATCGTTCTAAGCTTCATTGGCCATTTGTTAGCCCGATGTCTGTCCCTGTGTTCTTATGCTCATCTTACAGGTACGTAGCTTTCGAGATATGCTCATGGAATTTGGTATACTGGCGTGTTTTGACCCAGAAGCAAATACTATTGAAAATGGTTCCGGATCTGACCACTTTTCCGACCACTCCAGGTAACACCTTATTTCGATAAACCATTGTATGAAAAAAATATTGTAATTTGTAGAATTTCGCGATAAAGATCGTTTAGTATTCATATTTTGGCATTCTAAGTTAGTGTGAAAAGTGGTGAAAAAACGGGATGGTGTTCTTCTTTAAACCCTCCTCATATAATCGTTCCTACGGAAATTGAATCTTTATAGTAGTGAAAACGTGTAATTTTCAATACTTCTTGATGAAAATTCGTAAATAATAATTATTTGACGTAACAACTATTCTGTGGGTTCCGACCGTTGCAAGGGTTCCAATGAAAGAAACCTTTTTACGCCAAGAAGATCTAATTTTTAGTATTTTACGATGAAACGTAAACTATTATTGGATGTCCCTCATGAAAGCAAACCCTTGTATGGCGACAAAGTCGAATTTGTAGTTTACTATGATGGAAGAAACTGGAAAAGTAAATTAAGTTCGTTCATTTTGGACCACGTTATATTGGACGACAGTCAATATCGTTCAATATAAGGTCTTTCACGAATATTATCGATTTACATAACAATAATGATGACATCTTATTAGGAAAGTGAATGAATGATTGTATTAGGCAAACCGGTGTACAGTATTTAAAGGTTGGCCATATATGACCGGCTATAGGATTCTTATTTGTATTATGGTGTTTTTTTTTTTTTTTTTTTTGATATGCTGAATATAATTGCGGAAAATTAACTTTCTATACAGTAAAACTCCTAATACCAAATTCTCTTTTAATAAATTGAAATTCTTTGCATCCAGATTTTCTTCCGTCCTGAGATTGCTAAAGTTTTGTCTTTTAAGTAATTTATAAGTTTTTCGAAACATATTATAAATCCGGATTAGGTTTTTAGCTGTTGTATGGGTACATTGATTTTGTGTGTGTGTGTGTGTGTACCACTGTCAGAAGGGTTTTGGTTAAATATAACTATTTTATAGCAATTAGTTCAGGACTACTTGCTGCGTCAATTGAAGCCTGTCTGTCCCTCTGTCCTTGTAATTTTTCCAAAAATTTTCTTCAAATTTAGTGTTTTGATTTGGTTTGCCCGAGGGGCATATGCTATTGAAAATGGACTCGATGGAGCCATTTTCACCGTCACTGTCTATATAACGGTTCTTTTTTCAAAAAAAAATTCCCTTTTTTTTTAATATATTTCGACAAAATTGTAGAAGAGTAGTATTTAGGCATTAAAGGTGTGGCAAATTTATATGCGGTAGGAACATTCGATGGACCCGTCCTATATAAAGAAACGCACTTTTTATATGAAAAAAGGGATTAGGTTTTTGACATTTTATGACGAAGATTGGCGAATTGACAATTGGCGATTGTGTTGTGCGAAAGTAACCTAAGGTCCGAACTTGGTCGGCTGTAAGATTGTTATTCGGTTCAACTAAAAAAAGTTTTCTTAAAATTACAAATAATTGATTTTTCACTCATAAATTTTTAAATAAGTTTTAAAATTTATGTTTTAGTAGGAGTTGGCTTTCTTGAGATACGTTTTTGTTATTGTACATAATTAAGCCATTTATTTACACAAGTAATAAAGTTTAATAGCGTTTAAAGGTGACGGATTTTTTTCTCTTTAAGGTATTTAAGTATATTATTCTGGCGAGCACTTCCCACTTTATGTAAGTAATTAAAATATTTGAATTTCAATTGCAAACGAAATGCTTTCATCTCTTATATAATAATTGTTGTAGATGGAATAGCGCCGGTAATGAAGACAAGATAAGTGAATAACTTTGAAGAAAGTAGTCATTGAGTCATTGAGAAAAAGCAACAACAAGACACTTTTGATGAATTTTCTATTTGCAAAGTGCTATTATTAATAACAGTGTCGACATCAAAAGGCCTGTACATGGAAGAGGAAGAATTTGGTAAGAATTTGCCTCGAATTGACTTATAACTTCTTGTATCCGCTTAAGTTAAAAACAAATATTTTGATAGATCGAAACCAAAAGGGCAGAAGAATAAATCCATCTATCTGTTCTTTTTCTCTGTTTATTTTCCATTCACAGAACGCTTATATTCGGCTCCTGTTGGATTGATTATTCTATTGTCTATATTATACGGTCTCATTAGTATATTGGCCATAATTGGAAATTGTCTGGTTATTTGGATTGTAGCAACGGCTAAGCAAATGCATACGGTTACTAACATGTATATAGCAAACTTGGCATTTGCAGACGTTATTATCGCAGTGTTTTGCATACCATTTCAGGTAATTTACCCAGCAAAACATATATTAAGAAAGGGCATTACATGGTCTCCAAATGTGACAAAAAAAAAAAAAAAAGAAGACACATTACTATGTGCGTAGATATGTTTTTAACAATGAAGTAATTTTGACGCCCTTAGCGAATTCTAATGTAAGTTATTAGCCTAGATTTAACATAACGTTAACCTTTTTTATACTCGTCGCTGATCCTTCTTCATACCATCGCTAAATCCTTATCTCATGCTTCTCTTTGTAAATACCAAAAAACATGTATTAGAGAACTTGTTAGGTAAATCCATTTTTAATCGCCATAAAAGTCTGACCGTCTGCTGGCTATCCTTCTTTTCGCTTGTTTATTTATTTCCCGCCTGTATAGTTGAAGGGTTGGAAAAATTAGTATAGAAAATTGATACTTGCATATATATATATATATATATATGTCCTTGATGGCCATAAATATAGTTAGAAAATGGGCTTAATCCTTTCGCAACCACAATCACACTCACAATAGAAAAAAATCGTAACTTTCAACTTATAGGACACAGAATAATAAATAAGAAAATTATATTCGGCTGTTATCTAATCTTTTATATGCACCTACAACTTTTACTTAAAGCAAACAAAAAAATCAAGATATTCTTCACTGTTGGGCAGATGTGGCTGATATCTTCTATTTTTGTACGAGTGAAAGATCACTAACAGAATCCAGTACGGAAATTTCAATGATTGCGTCTGTTGTAGTGGATAAGTAATGAGCCAAAAAGGAAGTAGAAGTGGAAGTAGAGGTGTTCTCAATTTGTGTAGGAGTCTTCTTCAGCCTATTGTCGTTTATTTACAATTTTCCCACGGCGAGTTGCTATGAAAATGAATGCAATTTATTTTTAATGAGATTCAGATTTGGATCAAAAACCGTCAGGGAAAATTATGACCTGTAGGTCGGACACAAAATGGCACGGACAGATACTAGACGTTGGAAAAATCTCATGGATCATAAAGGATGAGAGGTGTAAACATTTTAATCGGCCAATCATTTTGCAATTTTTTTATATTCATTTCAGTTGGTCGGTGTCGAAGGATTGTCCTAACACTTCCAAGGATTAAATTTTCCTATTTTGAAAGCAATCATTATTTGAATCATCATATGAACTTCATAATGGAATACACTATGGGATTTTTGTCATTTAACTATGCGCACAACGATTCAAAAAAAGGATAAATCTCGGGGTTGCTACGCTTAAATTACTTTTTTATTTATTACCCCTCGCAGAAGCACAAAACATACTCGTTCAGGGTATTTCCTTTAACATCGCTAACGGACATATGGACATGCAAAAAATGTTAAAAGCTTTTCTGAATTTTCCATTTTTTATATCGCGAATGTAAACCAAAGTGGAAAAAAAGAATACCACCTGTCCTAGCAATTTTTTGAACTACATAGCAGTTATCATATATACGGGTCGTTTAACATATCTGCCATACTTGATAATGATGATTGAATTGCTGATTTGAATGTTTGAAGAAATTCAAAGTGCATTCCGTTTATAGAAACCTTACTCATTCAGATTGTATTATCTATCATATCGAATATAGGTTTTTTATCGAGAAATTGTTGGGCTTATTGGTTCAGATGACTATGGCAGACGGAGTCAATAAAAAAGACTAGGAAAATCATATCGACAGATTTCTGAGTATTTATACAGCTGGCTTGTTATATCTGACATTCATATCATATCGTTCCTATTTAATATTTGCATTCAAATCTGTTTTTGTGCGGTCCTTTTTTTACGCGCTTATGCGCACAGATTTGAATGTATAGGTAAGAAATAGTTTTCGCAACACAAGTAAAACGTTTTTTTTTTTTGTGCGGTGACTAAGGACCGCAGAGAAACAGGATTGAGTGCAGTTCCAGGAGTATTGTTTTATTATAATTTCTTTTTTTTTTAGTTGATAACTGCTTTGCCATATAGTTTCAGGCCGCTTTACTGCAATGTTGGAATCTACCATGGTTTATGTGCGCATTTTGTCCATTTGTTCAAGCGGTTAGTGTGAACGTATCCGTTTTTACTTTGACCGCAATCGCTGTGGATCGTCATCGGGCCATAATTAATCCACTGAGGTAAGTTGCAAAAATCATAAAAATGCTTCAGTAGTTTGCATTATATTTATTATTACTTTGTTGTCATCGTTGTTTGCTTTAATTGTAGAGCTCGACGAACGAAATTTGCCTCAAAGCTTGTAATAATAAGCATTTGGGTGGCAGCGTTAACTTTTGCCTTGCCATGTGCCATAGCATTTCGTGTTGAAATGTTAAACGAACGAGTTAAAGGTGAAGAATATGCGTTTTTCTATTTACTTTTCCTTCTGCGTTCATTAAATACGTTTGCTTATACGAATGTAATACTTTTGTCTATTTGCAGAGGATAATATCGTTTACAATGTTACTCGACCATTTTGTGCAAATGTCAATTTGTCAGAAAATGAATTAAAAACCTATCGGTACACGTTGGTTTTTGTTCAGTATTTAGTACCGTTTTGCGTCATAAGTTTCGTTTACATACAGATGGCTATTAATTTGTGGGGCACACACGCTCCTGGAAATGCTCAGGACTCTCGTGACATCACATTATTAAAAAATAAGAAAAGGGTAAACTCGTTTCAGAAAAATATTCTATATATTATTATCGTTTATATTGTTCGTCAATTACAGGTAATAAAAATGCTAATCATTGTTGTCGTTGCATTCGGGCTGTGTTGGCTACCATTACAACTGTACAACATTCTCTATGTGACTATCCCGGAAATAAATGAATATCATTTTATTAGTATTGTTTGGTTTGGTTGCGACTGGTTAGCTATGAGCAACAGTTGCTACAATCCCTTCATTTACGGAATTTATAACGTAAGTAAAGATTAAATTTTTAAAGCGTGAACAAAATCGAAACATCATAAATAATTAAGAGAATACGAAACTCGGTCGATCTGTTATATCTTGCTTGCTTGCTGGCTTCAGATTTATTAACATCCACTTCCTATCCTCTGAACTATCAATCGACATAATTTTTCACCTCTTCTACTCACGTATTATTGAACGTTCAAACAGGTATATGTCGCATTGTTTTTTTAAGAAAACATGAAAAAAGTTAACTTAAAATTATACCCGATTTGAACGACGATTAGGTGAGAATAGATTTTCTTTTTCGCTGTTAATATCTGAGAGCATGCTTCAGCATGTACATTTTTCATGCAAGTTATGTTAAAACATCGAACAAAAGATTGTCCCAATTTAATGGCATTTCTTCTTTTATAGGAGAAATTCAAGAGAGAATTTAAAAACCGATTAAAGGCTTGTTGCTCTCGCTTTCCAACAAACTTGGAGATGGAGGATCGCACGTTATCAATGTATACACGTGTCAGTTCTTTGCAATGGCCCCTATATGGTCACACACAACGTAACAATATGTTTGATAATCGCCGTCGCGAAACAATAGGACAGCCCTATGGAAACGATGTATGATTATCGTCGTATACTCCATTTGCCAAAAATAACAGAGTCAATGAGTTGGATGTAAACCTTGAAAATACTAATGGTGTTGGCGATAACCATAACACCGATTTTTAGATTTCAATAATTCAACCATTTATCCTCTAATGAACCCGTGTACAGTAAAAAAATATATTAGAAATTGTAATTTATTATAGTTAAGAATATATATATGTTTCTATGTGTATGTGTAATAATATTGCATCACATGTATGATATAACCTTAAATATTTCTTAAGTGCTTCGCAAGTAAGGTATATGCGACGCGGTCTGCTTCGGTGTGTAATGCCTCCGCCGGCTGTTACAATATATCGGCTTTGAATTTGCTATGAATTTATTATAGTTAAGAAGAAAAAAAAAAAAAAAAAAAAAAAAAGAAGAAAGATTGTATATGTATATGTAATAATATTTCATCGCATGTATAATATAACCTTAAATACTTCTTAAGTTTTTGCAAGTAAGATATATACGACGAGGTCTGCTTCGATGTCAATACGTCTAGACAATGTCTACACCGCCTGCGACAATATATCGGCTTTGTTTCCAAAATATAAATGCTGCTTATTTGTATAATCAATGAGTTAAAGTATACACGATTTACGATGTATACGACAGGGCGTACGATGTATAATAATTCTCGTTTCACCTTGCAGTCAAATATCGTGTATGATTACTGTAGTGAAGAAAGTTCTTGCATTCAATTTATTTGCGCCAACCCAACTAAACTAATTTATTCATATTTGATATATATACGAATCAAGTGGACTGACGTTGGCTTAATTCGCAACGGTTACTTCGCTGCAAAATGCGTATCTGTGTGGTATTTCAGGTGTTTTCATTGCTTGGCATTCAATAATATGCTAACTTTAAATTCGTAACTCATTTTTATAGTTAATAGTCTTCTGCTTGTTATACTTGTTCACTCACCGCAATCTTTTACAGTTACTATATTTTAAAAGCCTTTAATCTTTGGCGAATTTCTTGGGAAACGCAAATCGACTTGTATATCGCAATGAAATGCACTCATAAAATATATTTTGTTCCTTACAAACTATGTAGTTGTGACATAAAAAACTTTGCTTTTATTGCTTCAGTGCTTCCACTACGCATTACTATACTTTATATTACTTGCTGTAAGGTTATGTTAAGATTGTGTAGGTGTATCCAGCATCTCAGATATATTAATATATATAAATACATCGCTTTTATTACCTCAAGCTGATACAGAATCGTCTTGTGAATTAATTCAAGCTCGTCTGTCCTGTTTGACCGTTCGTCCATATGACGAATATCCATTTATTTTATGGTCAGATTGCTGTTTGTGACATATTTTGATAAAATGTGATACACTAACAGTACAAAGTACTTTTAAAGAAGTCGTTATTTGCCCAAAATTGCTGCTTTCAACAATTTGCAGAAAAATATTGTTAATTATTAGTATTGTTATATTGTTAGTATTAGTAATTAGTAGTTATTAAATTGATGTTAAAATTTTGGTTTAGATCGGCCAATTGTTTGAACATCTTTCGATAAGACCGATGCTATTGGAAGCAAATCTTTATATAGTAAAAGGATGTAATTATTAATGCATTGTGATGAAAATTGATTTACGGTATTATTTGGACATAAAAATAAATCGTAATTTTACGTAGATCCATTTCTTGAGCACCACTCCATATAAGGATTCCCTTGAGAAATATGCCTCTACATGGAAACAAATTATACTTTTGAGTGCTTTATCACAAAATAAGTAAACTAATATGTTAGGCGATGTGTGGACATTGCCTGATTATAAGGTTTGTGAAAACGCTTGCAAACTGCAGAAGAAAAGTTGGAAATATTTATTATATATATCCGTGATTAGCAACAAATTCGTACTCAATTTAGGCATATCAAATTCGTCTGTCTATCCATCTGTGTTTCTCCGTTTTTAAGTTTAGTAAACTGAGAGAACCTCTGCCTTCGTATTACTAATAAACGACTAATACAACGATAAAAAATTTTTATATGATATTTTATTGATGATTGTCAACGAACTGTACAGAAACAAAGAAAATTAATCATTCGCCCGTTATTATAAAGTAAGGAAGTTCAATTATTTTCCTTTTTTTATACATAAAAGTGGTCGATAGAAAAAGATTCGGTCGCAGCCAAATACAATCTTTTTTCAATTATTATTATTAGAGAGAAATAAATTCTGAGACTATAGCCTTAAAACAATTGAAAACTCTACGAGACTTGAGATTGGAGCTCACGACTATTGTTTTGTTCTATTTTAGATTCTGTTTAGAAAGACACTTTGAATATTTTGAAATTATTACATGTTGAGTCTAAGATTAGCTTAAACTTGGCCAGCAGCCGAACATATAAATAAACAAGTCAAACAACTTCAAAAGTGTGAGTGAGGCAGGATCAAATTTTAAATGGAATCATTACAGATTTCTAGTAGCATTCCTGTGAAAAGCGCTGCTTAAATGCTTAATGTTGGATAAGCACGGTGACACTATGGCACCATATGTATACATAATAAATAGCGAGAACATGTTGGTGTGTGCATCGTTCATTATTCCAATAGTTTGTCTGATATTCTGTTCTGCATTCAGCTCAGTGTTCAACTCGGTATTCAATTAGGCAACAATAGAATGCTTTTTTACGAGGTGTCTCGAAACTACGCAATAAATTGTTAATGCACTACGTAATAACCGCTAGCACGTGATGTGTAAAAATGCGAGCACATAGTGCGTAAGATATATGTAAGTAGGTACGACATAAGGCATGCGAATGTATGTTGCTTGCATATATAGAATTGTATATAAAAATGGACTAATCCATTGATTGATTATTGAAGTGAACGTTCGAACGATTTAATTTGAGTTAAATTTGAATACGTACGTTGAATTAAATAATGAAGCGTTTGTTTTATGCCAAAAAGACATCAAGTACGTATAAATAATCAAACGATAACAAACTACGTGTACATGTCTGTATAGATAAGCATTGCTTATTGTGTGCGTTTTGAGCAACGTCAGACTTTCACATATATGGTTAGCCCTTATTATTATATGTCCTTAAAAACGTCTTCATAAGTCCGTACGTCGTATAAATTGTTTTTAATTAAACAAAAGAAACAATTCGTAAAGTTCTTAATGTCACGTCAGCAGTAACAAGAAACGAAGGAAGACTTTGTCTGGCACTAATATTAACAGCAATCTGTTATGTTACGGTTTTTTGCATCAACAATAAACACAAAAAATATTTTTCAATTAGTTACAAACTAAATTAATCGCCACCCCTTCACATTTCTATAGCAAGTTCAAGTGATTAGTTCGTCAGCTGCAGTTATTCTGTTTCTTTGTTATATGTAAGTTTTTGCTGCGCATATGTTTCGCTCGTTACCCTCTAACTCTGGGTTACTTAAAAGGCAAAGAGTAAGGATGGTAATTTATAGCTGGTAACATATATTTCTTATACAAGTCAATTCAATATTCACTGTGAAAATGCTTGTATTCTATTTGTGGCCATCGCCATAAAAATGTCCCCATTTTTTATTCGTTCGATTGATATGAACTTAGACTTGTATTGCAGGTTCGCGTATACACTTTCAATTTCATTCAAAATATTATTTTTCTAAAATACACAATTTTGTGATTGATTACTTATGAGACAAATATCTAAGCCGTACAGGTCTCTTCTATCTCCTCGGAAATGGAAAGTATTAATGGCAGTAACGGCTTTTAAGAGCTTGAAAAGATATTTATTTTATCCTCGAACGAACTTGATTGTCAGCGTAGTTTCGCTGTTAAATATTGCTATTTTGTTAAATATCGTTTCGGGCATTCGAAGATGAATAATGTTGGATACGACACAGGGAAATAAAATACGTTAATAATAGCCGCCATTGCGAACAATATTTCCCACTCGAATAATAGTATCATCCTTTCCACGTATGTACACCGTATTCTTTATCATTCCAAAATTTGATAATTAGAAAATAGTGAGTAATATTACTTTCTGTCTGCTAAATATTCGTTCTCATATATATAGCATATATAAAACAACACTTGAAAGCCGTGGGATCACATATAGATGTCGCCACTATTAAGAAATCCACAGTGCCAACATTCAAACGATATGGGCAAAAATTTCACGACATTCGTACCATTAGTTTACAAGCGCACCGCTTGTGTTACCGGGTATATTAAGCTTGTGCAGACGTACGTAACACATAGAAGAGCTTATATTATACCGACCGATCAAAAATCATTTAAGAATCGATTTAAGTTCGCCTGTCCGTCTGATGTCTGTCCACGGATTTTTGTGCTCCACCTACAGGTCGCAATAGTTGAGATATTTTGGTGAAATTTGATATACTGACGAGCATCGGCCCAAGGACGAATGTTATTGAACACGGTTTGGATCGGTCCAATTTTTCGGCCAATTGTCATTCTTAAAATTTTTTGGCAAAATTCGCTGGATAATAGTAGTTTGACATTCTAACTTGTTATGATAAATTTGCTTCGACTGCGGTACTTTTTTGAACCTCCCCTCATATAACCCCTCTTAAGAAACCTTATACGACAGAAAGGTGTAATTTTCAATATTTCGTGGTAAATAATAGTAAATTAGCAGAGTAATCCACATTATCGAGTTTAGACTACATGGCTCTATTTTTTGGATACGACAATATTTCAGGGAATGTAAGCCCTTATACGCCAAAAAGACCCAATTTGGCCTATAATTGTTACTATTTTATGTTTAAATTTTGTTCAAGATAGGAATTTAGCATAAAAATTGAGTGGACCAAATTTGAGACATATGTGTCTATTTCTTAGGCGTCACTTCGTATAGGGTCTCTTATGAATACTAAGTCCTTCAGAAAACGATTTAATTTTTAACATTTTATGAGGAAAATTATTCTTTACTAGCAATTTTCCGAAGAAATTGACGATACGGAATATGGATTCCATAGGTCTATTTTTTAAATTGCAACATAAAGCGGGATCTTCATGAAAAGCAGGTGTTTACATGGAGAGAAAATGTAATTTCTATTTTGTTATTACGGAAAGTGAAGCATAATATAATTTTTAGGAACCAAATTAAGGCTACAGAATTTGCATCCACTCCCGTTTGAGCATCCTTGTATGTGCGGGTTTGCATGCCAAGTGTGCCTTTGCATTAAAATGATGTGTAATTTTTGGTGTATTTTTAACAAAACGAGGGAATGTACTAGGTAAAGTGATGTAGGGTATCTGACGGCGTATTATGTTTTTATTTGTTTTATTTTCGATAACAGAATGAAAAAATCTAAATTTCCTATGTAGCCCATCAGTCCATATAATTTTTTCGGATGATTTAGCGATCAACTGGCTGCGGCACATACCTTGTCGTCATAAAGTAGAATTTGCAGCGGCGACAGACAGCGTCTGGAAGAAATGTTTAATTTACCAGAAATATTGCATCGCTTTCGCTATAGAATTAGAAAGTTTCTATTGCCTTGCCAGGACTGTGTGTAAGCCTTTCTTTAATATCACCAAGCTTTATTGGCCTTTCCTAAATTATCCATTGCACGAAGAATCTTACGATCACCTCCGTGTACATCATTATTTTAAAGACGTTATCTCAAACCTTATAGGAAAACAAGTTGAAATGTTAGAGGTAAGCAAAGCTCGATTATCAAGCGCCGTGTATTATTTCGCCTCAAACATCAATCCCTTATCCAATTTCGCTTTGATATATTAAACAGGTGCCACTTTTGGTGTTTCATCATGAAAGCAGATAAAGAATTATATTAGGTGAAGTAGTTTTCTTTTTACCTGTTAATCATAATTTAATTTGACAAGCATTTGAATTTTTGTTAAAATAATGACACTAACATAATTAAATACATTTTACTTATCTAATTTCAAAAAAAAAAAAAGACAGGATTACTTGAACTCAATCAATTAAAACAAAAAGTAAGAAATTTGTATTCAGTCATGACCGAATCTTGTATACCCCATTATCGCAATTCTAAAATTACGAGTTTTGAGTGGGCGCGGTTGATTTTTTCTATTGTTTAGAATAAAGTGGAAATTTATATGATGTATGTACTTTATGAGTAACAAACAACAACACGGAAAACAAACGTGTTTACGTGCTTTTTGCTATAGAGAGGTGCGAACGTATCCGTTGATCGGCTTAGGCCGTTTTCCCTCTCATTTGCAAAATCGTAGGAGATATTCTCATTTTTGCGAACGGGAACAAAGCTTCCTAAAGATTCTATATAATTGGACAGATGGACAGACGGGCAGACGGACATGCTTAGGTGTACTCTGAATTTGAAACTGGCCAAGAATTTATATAATTTATGAGGTTTTTCAAGCTTGATACTGGGCGTTATAAAGGTATTTAAGAAAAAAATTAAATTTTGATATATATATATTTTTCCCATGCGGTTACTAAAGCACCACCCATGGAGTATACGTTTAAATTATTGTAGATTTTTCTGCTGTACTTAATGATTAATGAGCGAAAAAGCAATTTTTTTTTTCGTTTTGAAAATCAGAGGTGTTCTCAGCTTACGCGGTGCTGCAGGCGTGTTATCCGATCGAACTTACCTGCAAGAACTGCCAATGTTTTCGTCTCAATTTTAAGTCGATAACTTTATTTTTGCGGCCAAGGGAATATTTACAATAGACATTCCATAGATGGACAGACCGATATCCTTAAACCAATTTAGAATTTGATGCTGATCTAGAATAAATATACTTTGTAAAGTCGATGAAGCTTCCTACAGGCACGCTTATGTAAATATGTACGAAAATCGATACGATTTAATTTTTAGTTTTAACATTTACAGAAGGCAGCACCTGTGACATTGAACAGACTGCCTGAGTTAAAATTTTCAGTATTTAGCGGACGATTGCTAACAACTGTTGGTTTCGTTTTAAAAAACTTTTTATGTCATACGTCCTTTGATAAACACGATAGAAATTGTGGGCTTGCAAAGAGGGTCAGGCGGTCATTACGTGCACGTATACCTGTATGACTGTTTTTGTGGTGTGTTATTGATTAAGCACGTACAAAGGCTTGCTGGTATTGTGGGAATTTGTACAATTGCCTACCGATTGTTCGATTGATTGCATTAATGGCCTAGAAATTTTTAAATATTTATTTAAATATTTTTATGAAATCAATAGTCGAGTGTTGTTACAAACATATATCAAAGGGGCAGTCAAAAAAGAACAGTGATAGCGTAAACAGTTAAACTATCAACGAGTTGAACGGCAAAGTGTAATAATTTGATGAAAATTGTTAATCATTTGTAAGAGCATGTAATCAAAGCCGATATATATTTTTATAAACTATATAGTGTTTACATACAAGACATACGTTTAGATAAGCATATATAGATTGCATAAAAGATACTGCATTTTTCTCGTTTAAATAGTTTCTTCGGCACCAATATTATCCTGTGGAGAATTGCTAGCTTTATTGAATGCATATGAAATGAGTTTAACGTCAGTAAAGTAACGATCTCAGTAGCAGTTGTCGGTCAAAGCATTAACGACAATATAGAACAACAATAAGCAGCCATAGTACGGACAACAAGAATAACGATATCCGAAATTTTCCAAAGGCAGGAATTACAATGACGATAACCCGTATTAACGATTTCTATAGCAACTCAATCATACTTATTACGGGTGGAACCGGTTTTGTAGGCAAAGTGTTAATACAAAAACTATTGAGTGCCTTTGAGGTGCAGAAAATTTATATGCTGATACGTTGTAAGGATAACATGACAGTCGAGCAGCGTTTAGAGAAATTTTTAAATGAATCGGTGCGTATTTTTTCTTTTATTTCTGTTTTTGTTTTTGATTTTTAACTAAAATCAGTTCCAGCTTAGCGGATATGAAGGATATAGGAATTGAATATTTTTGTTTATTGGCTTGTTTGATTGACAAGTTTTCTTTATTATCATTTTCTTCGTTGCATACTTATCAGATATTTGATGTATTACGCGAAGAAAGACCGCAGATACTTCGTAAAGTACGCGCCATACGTACTAACTTTAGTGCAATCGATTTGGATATTGAAGCCGCGGATCGTGAACTGCTACGCAATGAAGTGGAGGTCAGTATACGCGCACACAAGCACATAAAGAAAGCACACACAACAGCACGTATCATTACGGTGAACGGTAAATATTCGCTATTTGGCCTTTCATATCATCGACAATCGAAAGGAAGGGTCTACACTAAGCATCAATTCGGAAGCTTAAATGAATAAAGGCGGATAAAATTCAGTTATGAGTTAAAATATATGATTGCGAAAGGTATGATTGCGACCGGTCCTAGTTTGGCGCAATGATAGGCGTGGCTATTTACAATATCCGAATGCGGGGTGTTTACGAATCGGTGTATATCGAACGGAAATATGTCATTTGTTGTTATGCTTAACTTAGGTATACACGAATATAGATATTTTTAAATGCATATATAGCGTCAGGCGTGTCTGTGGTTGTATGATTGATGCTTCATGTTGCCGATTTTGATTAAAAATTTTAGAATGCTTCCAAATTTTTTTTTAGTTGTTTCAGATGCTTTTGCATTTTGATTGAAATTCATGTTATTGAAGCGCGTGCATGTATAGATACATGCAAGCGTAGATGCAAATTGTCCATCGCCATATACGTACGTACAATATATATATATATATATATATATATATATATATATACGTATTGTATAAACATTACCTCTTCATATAAACATACAATTGTTGCATGTTCAATGTTTTATTTTGCAGCCTTGCAATGCTTCGCTTTAAAGATAAAAGATATGTCCATCGGGTTTTTGCACGTAGACCATGTACAGTACAGTACAGTATATGTATGAATGTTTACAAACTTTTTTATGCTTGCACATGTAAATATGTGGATAATTACTGCACTATGTTTGGCTCAATTGTATCAGTAACATTCTATTTTAATTGCATGTTGTTGTATCAATTCTTTATTTTCCCTGTATTCTGTTCTTGAGTAACACGAAAAAAATGAAAAATGAATAAAAATTAAAAAAAAAAAAAAAAAAAAATGTTAATAGAAATGGCGGCGAAAATTATATTTATTTTGTTTCGCGATACATTCGTTTAAGACCTGTTGTATTTATGCTCCATATATTGAACGACTGACTGCGGACATAGACAGACCACTTTGGCTAAAATATTCCAGCACCGAAATATAGAAGAAAAAGTTTTTCAGGAAATATTAGTAAAGCATATCTAAATTATTTTATGAGTGCAATTAAAATATGTGGCAAGGGTTGTGTTAATAACGCCAATAACAATTTAAATATCAAGAAGAGAGTTAACGGCGATGTTGGGTGTGAGACGCTTTCGCGCCGCCCAACGGTATTCATTTTTTAAATTAACGGTGTTGGGAGTGGTCTTCCTAGTTTTGTTAAATCATTTTATTTGGAATGACTACGTAATTCATTTCGATCTGTAAACATGTGGTCTCTGTATATATATATATATATAAACATTTAGTGATTATTTAAAAATAAAAAAAGTAAAAAAATTAAAAATGGAAAATAATTTGTTAAGCAATATCACTAAAAAAATTAATTTTCGCTTCTTTTTTACCTTAGCAATTTCACTTATATACGTTCCATGTACAATATTTTTATTACATTTTACTAGTTTGCTTTCTTCTTCTTTTCTATTGCAACGGGAAAATTCATTTTTATTTTCCTTTTTCTTATGGTTAAACCAACTAGCGCATATACAGCACAGCAATGGCTTACCATCGACCACTATTTTATTATAGAGAGGTAATCTACCTTTTCCTCTTCACTCAAACTACGATTTTTTTTTTTTTTTTTTTGTTGATTTCATTCGATATTTTTTTAGTTTTATTTTATTTTAGATGAGATTAAAAATCACTGAAATCAAGTCTCAAAGTAAACGAGTTGTAAAAGTCTTTTGTTTTGAATTTCCTTCTTGCAGATAGTGTTCAACGTCGTTGCATCGGTGAAATTTAATGAAAAGCTTAGTGACGCCATTGACATTAACGTTTTGGGTACAAAGAAGATACTAGACTTAGCTATGGAAATGAATAATTTAAAGGTGAGTTGTGTAAAAGTAGCGTAGTAAACAATACAAATCTATTACACTATTGTGTACGGAAAGCAAGAAAGCAACTGATAGAAGTCCGAGTAGTAGCCAAAGTAGTGATTATTTCTTTACAATCTATGAAGAGGAATTTTCCCTTAGTTGATGGAAGACAAAGTCGACTTTTTTATCAATGTCGCTAACGAAATGCACGGGTGCTACTCATCGGGTGTACTATCGCCTGTGGCATAGATAAAGTGAATCGATTCTCAAATAGCGTAAGATTCTGACCCGATTCTATAATTTATTCGTTTGTCTATTATCTCTTCCGCATATTTTCGTCCGGTTTTTGTTATAAGTGAAATTGAAATGATTTTTCAAAAAAGAATGGAACAAGATTTAACTACACCACACACTTTTCAAATAAGTAGGAATTAGAAAAAATAAGTAGGGAAAGAAAAAGAAAATTTAAAAAAATTGTTTGTTTTTTTTTTTTTTTGCAGACATTTTTACACATTTCGACACTTTATTGTAACTGTAATCGCAAGTACATTAACGAAAAGGTCTACGAAAATGATATCGGCTATGAGAAGATTATACAGATATTTCGAATATTCGATGATCAGACTTTAGAAAAGTTTCGAGCATGTTTAATTGGAGAAATGCCTAATACTTATACGATGACCAAGAAATGCGCTGAGAATTTAGTCAATCATCGGGCTTTTCACTTGCCAGCTGGTATTTTCCGGCCACCCATCGGTAAGACAATGCATTATTTTATCATTTTATTAATTTCTTGCGGTCTTCTCTCTTCCCGTATTATCATTTTTTTTTTTTTAATTTTCACACTTTGCCTTAATTGGCTAGAGCACGTCTCTATTAATCATATTTTACGAGATATTGCTGTAAATATATTCTCTGCACTCTAGAAAAGTTGAAATGTCTAATGTTGGATTTTTCTTTTAGTAAATCTCAAATTCAGTTTCTTTCGTCCATTTTTTTTGTTTTCTCTTTTATGTTTGAGCTTTTACTATTTTTCTTTCCAATTTGACATAATTGCAGTGCTTTACAAACAATAAGAATTGTTCATGCAATGGATGGATGGTCTTGTGCGTTGTAAGCACAGACCCGATGAAGATTGTATTGTTTTACTAAGAATATTGCAATATTTTGTATACATACGCACCTATATTAGATGAGCAACTAGGATTCCGGCTATTTTTTCATTAACAAAAAATTGAAAATCCTGATAGAAGTACAAGAAATGTTTTTATTTAAGTAATCACGTTTCTCATTTTTTGCGGCGAATGTGAGGTCGATATTGGCTATGCACGCAAGTGTGTGTTATGAGTGTCGTCAGAGGAACAGACAATATATCTGCGATTGTAATGAATATTAATCAAGAGAAGTAATGTTTGCTGGTTGCAGCGGGGTAGGTTAAAAATTTCCAAGTTCCATAGATGTGTTTTAACCAAACAGAACAGAACAGGTCCTCATCACCATCACGATTTTATAAGTTTTAGCATAATATCGCCGTTTCTCGACCCAAGTACATTGAACTTAGTTTTTGTTGATATCGTTTTATAGTGATGACCAGCTGACATTTCTAAGTTAGCGCCGCCACGAAGATTTGTCTATTTCGCCAATGTTAATAGTTTTCCTAGTCTGTGTAATGACTACTTGCGCTTTCGATATCCTAACGCGGCAGCAATCTCCTATAGAAGTAGACATGTAGCCAAGATCACGTCGGCCTATTGATCGGCTAATGTGGCACAGAACTCGACATTTTTCTTATTAGATATGTGCTGGTATTACAACTTGTTATTGTTTCCAGATTTCTGCTTACGGGTGACAGCCGGATACTTAGTTGTGCACCTAATATCATCTTCGTTTTTTGTGTGAGTGTTCTTGCGGATATACAAGAAAGTATGTTCGATTAAAGGGACATTGCACGCACTCTTCATTCAAATATCCATGAATTTATAGGAACACTAAACTTTTTAAATTTGTTTTTGTTTTGATGGAAGTGATTCTTTTTGCGTACAATATCTCATTACACGTCAAGTAGGCAGCCTGGCGTCATTCCGTTTCAGTTACATCGATAACTTATCGTAGTAGTAGTAAGGAGAAAATATTGAAACTTATTTAATTGTTCATTATGTCAACATAAACATATTGTTTAGGTAAGTTAGTCGTTATACGCAAAGCCAGCAATTTAAGTGAATTTAAGTAAAAATGCAAACACAATGTGAAAAGTTTGATAACGCAAAGCTTCCCGCCTTCTATGCAATAGATTGATAGTGAGAGAGTGAAGTAAATAGATAGATAGATAGATAGGTAGATAGGGAGATAAATAAATGGATAGATAAATAGAGATAGAGATTAGATAGAGATTGAATGGGAGAAAGAAAGAAAGAAAGAAAGTAAGAAAAAAAGAGAGAGAAAGAGAGAGAAAGAAAGAGAAAGAGAAAGAGAAAAGGTATAGCTCTTAATGTGGCAAACTAAAATGAAGTTACTGTGTAACTTTCCAAAGTGCTCTTCACTATTTCCCAAATGCAATTTGTTTATTTGTATGTGTCTACTATCTTCAAAAATTTAAATAAATACGAAAAAGGCAAAGTTGGTTGACAAACACGAAAACAGGGAATAGATAAATCTACTAACCCGTACATGTTCGCATCTAAATGTATGTTATACACTCAAAGGTATGGTTTTCGTTTAAATGTTGTTTTGTTTTTTTCTTTTTCGTAATGCAACAGCATAACAATAAAACTCTTTACGCATCGCAGTCTTTTACTCAAGAAAGAAAGTTAGTAAATTTATGTCTCTACAATGCAGACCTTGTTCACATAAATCCCCTTAAGCGTGTTATTGCTCTGACAGACATCGATTATGTTTGTCTGTGCATATATTTATTAATGTTACTCTAGCTCCATCGTTTTTCAGTTATATCAACTTATAAGGAACCGTTTCCTGGTTGGACTGATAATTTATATGGACCATCAGGATTATGCACATGGTCAGCCAGAGGGTTAGTTCATTGCATTTATGGTAATTCTCGATGTCTTGCCAATATGGTGCCGGCAGACTATTGCGTAAACGCAATGATTGGCACTGCTTGGGATATAGCCAGAAGGTGACTTGAATCTTTACCTGCACGGCTTTCATATATATATATATATATCAAAGATTATATTTTACATAGATACAAACTGAATAAGTACGATGATCATGCGAAATCAAAATGCGAACTGCCAGTCTACAACTATATATCTGGGGACAACAATTTAACTTGGGGACAATATATGAATATGTCTCGTAAAGGATTTCACGAACCATTCGACAAGCCCTTGTGGTAAGTGAAGCTCCATTTTCATAAATAATACATCGGCTAGCAAAGTTCGGGACTAACAGCACCATAGGTCGGTTAATCACAAGAGAAAATAATACGTTTTCTTCTCATAGTTTGTGTGACTCGATTTTAAACTTTCATATGCCGTGCCCCAAAAAGTCCCACTTTCAATATTAAAAACTTTTCAATATTAATTTTGTTATAAGGCAAGGTTCAGAAGTCACAAACACAAAAACCGGAAGCAAAAAGATACTTTACTAATTGTGAGGACTCTGCGATTTCGCTTCGTCCACCGGTATATCTAAGAAAAGCACATGTTTTTTACTCGGAAAATCCGGTTTCAGTGGTGTCTTTACCGAACTCTAAATTTTCTTAATGATCAATCACTTAGAGTATCCTTCCTCTTCGTGTAATATGGTGACGACCAAAAAGAAGAGGAACAAGTGAAGGAAGGGAAGGACATAGGAAAGTGGCAGCCTAGTGGGTCTGTTTGATCAATCGCTAAATGTTATGTCTTTACCGACTGAATAGCCACTATAGCTACGATCAAAGAAAACTCTATCGCGCTAAGTTTTGAATCCCTCGACTACTGACTTGCCAGTCAGGGGGGATTACCCCCTCGGTAACCATGCGGATCAATGGAATTCATCTAAAAAATTTGACTAAAACGATGTAAAGCTCATCGAGAATTAACGTTTCTAGCTTGGTTTCACTTTCGCAAAACATATGATTTCTTTAATCCGAAGATAACAATAGTAGTGTTCCGATTTTTTCATTAAAAAAAAAAAAAATCATATTCACGAAATAAATTTTTGAAATAAATATTTACGATTTTTTTTTTTAAATATTTTTTATCATATATTTATGTTATTCTACTTTCCCTTACTTGCCTTCGTTCTATTTCTTTTACAATGACACATGGCTTTCGCTTACTATTGCGTGTACCTTTTTTTGTATTCGTAAAGCAAAAGTCTTGTACGATTTCCACAGCTATACGGAATTGAACGAATTAAATTCACCCAAATTGCATTTGTGTAACGAGTGTTATACAGACTGCGGAGAGTAATGCAATCAGTTCAAAGCTTTTCTGGCCTCCTCGATAAAACGATATATAGTTAGACGGTCAAAGTATGCTTCCTTTACTGTAGTGCTTTCATCATTTGATTCAAATCTTTTTCGTTTGGACACCGCTCTGCGCTCAGATTTGCAAACAAATAATAGACAATGGCAGACAGATCTGAAGAATATTGGGGAAGGGGCAGTTTAAAGCAACGAGTATAAATGATACTTGACAGAAGAATGTACTAATAAACTAAAGTTGTTTTAGTCGAGGAAAGCAGTGAGTACCAGTGTCTCTGTCAAGTGTTTGATCTGTATTTTGATTTCAAATAATTATTAAGCCTTAAATACAAAACTGGTGTTGCATTTTAGATATCAATCCAAAATATTTTTGGAAAATTTTAGGTTTTTACCTCAGCTTTTCGGTCTCGGACAATGACTACAAATTTCATATTAAAAGTTGAAAGTTATAGCAAGAAGCAAGAGAAACAGAACCTTGGAGTGTTGTCAAAAGGTTTGTGACCAATATATTCTACAGAGGTAGGGAGAGGCGATATAGCAAATAGTGTAAAATAAATTAGTTAGAAACTGTAATGAACCAAACCGACTTTAGATGTTTTCTGCCGCTACTTACACATGAATGTTTGTTTATATAAAACTTTAAATGTATGCGCCCTCTATATATGTATGCGATATATAAAATAAATAATGTGAAGAAAGTGTTGCAAATAGAAGTTGCGATCTCTTCTACAAAAACCTCTAAGAGACCACAATGAAAACCTTTCCAATTTGCAGCACGGGACGGCATATTTATCAGTTGGACTATTAGTGGTAGCCTCTATTTACATGTGCGTAAACTAAATCAAACCGATTGTGTGGCGGATGAAATCGACTATTTATTACCGTACACCATTTCGACTGTAACTTTCTATGGAAATCCATAGAGAGGGGCAGGCTTCCGAAAGACAATAAACAGTATATCCAATCACCATTTTGTTCCAATTTTCATCATAAAATACTAAAAAATCGACTTTTTTAATATGAATGATTATATAGAATAGAGACCAAACCATTGCCCGACTGTTATGAACAAATATATAAAATTAAATTTTTGTGTTTATAACGATTTTTTCAGGATAGGACGGGATTTAAACGGGGAGCTTGAGCTCAAGCAAGCGACTGTACCAAATTTCGTCAAAATATTTTAAGATCGACTGCAAATACACATGGACAAACCTGTGGAGAGATTAATAGACAGACAGACAGACACACATATCGACAAATAGGTGGAAAGATAATATTAAATCGATTGCGAAAACCGTTCTTAACTGAATGGTCTAATAAAAGATGCGGCAATCTTAAGTTTTCCTGGGTGTTACATATATTCGGATACCCTTCGAACGCACTATATCACAAATGATGTATCAAAAGAGCACAATGACTCTGAATTGATGAACATAGCAAGACCGGGGTCCATTTGAAGTTATTACGGACGTTACATTCCCACAAGTTTAACAGATTTTTATCATAATTAAGGTTAAGTATCCAAATACCAAAGTTTATGCTAAATGTAAGCGGACGCTTTCTCTGAATCCATATATACATATATTATATTATTATATACAAGCGTATATACCTAATGCGTATTTGTTTGTTAAACAAATACTTGACAAATTTGATATAACAACCTCTGGTGTGGAAAGGAGTCAGTGAGAATTAGTGAGAGTGGGATCATCTAAATCATCTAAGTCCGTAGAGCTTCCTAAATGAAAGTTTGAAAACGCTTCGAGAGCAAAGTAGATATGGTTGGCACACATCTCACACACATCGTATCGTGCGAAATCTAAATGAAGTTTATTGCAGGTTCACTGTAAGTTTACGAAGTTGGAATGGTTTTGTTGTTCGGTTGTTTGTTTGTTGGATTATCTAAAATTAGAGCAAAATCCTAAAATAGTTTTTATAAAAAGGTTGCTGGCAAAGCATATATAACCCATTGATTGCCTTCATCTGCAATGCATCCTAAAAACTAATGAACAATATCATCCAATAACAATACCGACCATATGATGACGATCAAACTGGTTTGTTTAATGGCATCACTGCATTACTATTTATTTACATATATACATATATATGTGTGTGTTGATACTTGTAAAAACAATCTAATTTGCATATAGACATATACATACATACATACAAAATCGCAACTTATAAAACAATATAAAGCGAATTGTAACAAAATGTACGCACACAAATATATATATATATATATATGTATATATATATACAAACATTTTATTAAATAGCATATGCAGTTTGCGTATATATGCAATATTTTGATTGTATAATCATTCATATTGTTTTGTGGCATCAGGTGTTTCTCGTACATCATAATACCATGGAAGCCATTACATCATGCCGCAGCATTCTTTCTGCATCGGATACCAGCTTATATTCTAGATTTAATAGCTCTGGTCACTGGTCAAAAACGCATGTAAGTATGTCAATTGCTTTTCGCAATACATAACAATACGATGTAATGTAATGTTGAGTAACCTTTTTTTTTCTTTTCATTATGTTTTTTGTTTTTATGATGATGGACTACTAAGCCAAACTGATCATTCGCTTTCGTTTCGTTTCGTTTTGTTCGTTTGTTTATAAAAGATACGTAAAAGCATACCAGAAAATGACGAAAATTATTTACATGATGTCTTGGTTTGGCCTTAAAGAATGGAAATTTGCCAATTGCAATATAAAGGAATTGCACTCTCAACTGACACCGGCTGAGAGAAAATTACTTGAATTTAATATCGAAACTATAGATTGGGCCACGTATTTTCATTCATATTTAAGTGGTATACGAAAGTATTTTTTTAAAGATAGCGATAACAAATTGCATAAACGTAAAGTCCTTTATCGCAGGTAATTGAGCGTTTACATATGTATGCATGTATGCTTGTATGCGTTGTCTTGTCCAAAGTAAAATTATTATGAAAATTTATGTCTTTCTCTCTCTTAAGTAGTTTTTAATTACAGTTTCTGTTATATGCGATGGCTTTCTGCTTCTTCCACTTTTCCATTTTTTTGTGTCTATAGTAAACCCCATCTATTCCTTACCATACGTATTAATAATATGTTATCTAAGTTTTAAGTAATAGTAGAAAAGCTCATTTTGTCTTCTATTACTTTCTCTCTCTTTTTTTTTCTTTTCTCGTTTGCAAAGAATGGTATTTGCTCATAATCTGATGAAGTGTTCCTTCGGTTTGTTGGCCATTATGTGCATTACAAGGATTTATTTGAAACTTTGTAAAATTAATTCAAAGTTTTCATTTTAAGTTGAGCTCATTAAAGTCAATGGTTTTGAAAACAAATTGAAATGTGACTGTAGTGCAAATGTCAGGAGCCTGCGAACTATGTCGATGTATATTTACCCGCGCAATCATATCAATTGGTTTTTATTTCTCTATGCATGTTTTTGTTACTTAGATAAAGTTGGCACCATTTCATTGGCATACATATACATATACATATTTATACCGGTTAACACGGTTACTTAATGCCGTGCCGTATTAAAACTATGTTCAACGAAACTTTTTAATGTTTTTACTTAAACTTAAATGTCATAGAGAATAACATAATTTGAATTTAAATATAATATAAAGCAAAACATATAATATATATATATATATATAATATAAAATAAAACATAACAAAAATTATATTTATTCTTTCTCTTTTATACCCATCATCGCTATTGTCCTCAAAAAGCCAAAAAACAAAAGAGAGCAAAATTTTCATGCTATACAATATCGGATGGGCGGGGCTGGTTTTTTTCCCATTTTCAAAATAAAAATGGATTTTTATATAATGTGTGTGTGTGTGTGTGTGTGTGTGTGTGTAGTTTATGAGCAACAAGCAAAAACCACGGAAAGTAAAGATGTTCACACCTTTTGCTGTATAGGCGCATAAGCGCTGTAGACGTGTCCGATTGACCGATTTAAGCCATTTTCACTTTCGATATCTTCATTTTTGCGAACGTGATAAAGTTTACTACAGATACTACACGTTTGGACAGATTGAGAGACTGACTTGCTTAGTTGCACTCCGAATTTAAAATTGGCCAAGACTGTATACAATTTATGGGGTTTCTGAAGCTTGCTTCTGCGCGATATAGAAGTATTTAAAAAATTGAATTAAATCATAATATTGGGTAAGTGAGATCAATTTTTCGTATACAGATACTGCAGCATCACCCATGGGACACACGTTCAAATTTTTATAGATTTACCTCTTGTAGTTAATGATTAATGAGGACAAAAACAATTTTGTTTTTCTATTGAAAGCCAGAGGTGCCCTCAGCTTACGCGGTAGGCGTGTTCTCCGCCTTATTTGATTCATTTTTAATTCCGATCTGCCTGCAAGAACTGTCAATGTTTTGTTCTAAATTTGAAGTCCATATAGGTTCTGGTGGCGAGGAAAATGTTAACAACAGACTCAAATCAATTCAGAACATGATTCCGATCAAGTACGTATATAGTCTGAAGCTTTCTTCTGGACGTTAAAAACGTTTTAATAAAATGAACGTACCCCTTATTGGTATCAAAATGTGTACCATGTCGTATCGAAACCTTATTCGTGCTGTATCAACACCATATTATAAAATACCTTCAAATAATGCAAGCGAACACAATATGCATCGTATTCGGTACCGAAATCAAGTATTACGGTGTAACATTTTATGATCGGAATTTCATTATGAAAGCTCGTTCCAAATGTACATACAAGTGAAATGTAAGAAAATATATGTTCGGCTGCAACGGAATCTTTCGTATCTATTACGCTTATCGTATCTATACTTAACCTCGATGTTCTTTTATTTGATACGCATATCGACAAGATTGTGGAGAAAAAATTAATCCACCACATCATGACGTCTGCGATATATAATTCAGAATCAATACATTTATCTTGTACCATTCTACTCCCCAAGTTATTTTATTTGCTAAGCAAAAATGAGTCATCCAGCTTACATGGTCTACCATTTTGATTTTAGAATCAACACATTTTTAGATAACGATGTGAGGAGAAGGGAGAGAATAACTTTCTACATTCCATCTTGTTTACCTTATGAGTAATAATTAGAAAACTGAAAAGAAATGAAAAAATTTTAAATTTAATCGCTTATGGCAGAGTGTCAGAGGTCGAGAAAGATATTTTCCTGTTTTTTTTTTTTTTTACAAAAGGTAGGGCCTTTCTTTCAGAATTTCTGAGTAATAAGCAAAAAACATGAAGACGTGCCCTTTCAAAAGTTTGGGTCACTTTCAAATTCGTTTGCATATTCGTAATCGATATCTTCATTTTTGCTAACGGGAGAATGTTTATCACAGATACCGCACAGTTAAGCAGACGGATAGATGGACAGATGGACAAGTTTGGCTGCATTCCAAATTTGAAATTGGCCAAGAATTTATACACTCTATGGAGTTTTTGCAGCTTGTTTCCACGAGCTATAAAAGTATTCGAAAAAAAGAAAGAACTTTTGATACACTATGAGATATGGGCGTCGCACATAGAACATGCGTACAAGTTTTTCGACACTTATCTGCTCTAGCTTATATGGTAATGGGCAAAAAAAAAAACCAATTCTTTATTTCTTTTAAAAACAGAGGTATTCTCAGTTTACGTAATACAATAGTCGTACCCTTCGACCGATCTCGCCCATTGTGAACGCCAACTTGCGTGCAAGAACCCCAAATGCTTTTGCCAGCCTTGTAATCGACAGCTTCATTTTTACCATAGACTTTACCGAGACGTACAAACGAGCATGCTTAAGGCGATTTAGAGTTTGGTGTACATCAAATATATATTTATACTTTTTGGGGCCTTTGATGCTTCCCGACAAAATGAATGTACCCCTCATCTTCCGGTGATGGGTATAAACAAACAAACATTCGATTTTTTGAAATCGTGTTGTATGGAAATAAGGTTTATTCCTCGTATCGTGTGGTGTTGAAAACCTGCTTTACATCGTATCGTGTTAAGCGAAAGGCGCCCCTATATGTTTTTGTATGCACCGTTGAAAGACGAGGTTATGCTAATTTTTTTTCTTTTCATAAGGTATGGAACAGCCAATAGGGATTTGCGGACACCCTATAAAGTATATACATATTCTTAAACTGTGTGAAATTTTGACTTGATTATGCCATGTCTATCCGTCGGTGTGTCTGTGTGGTGTGTATTGTTGGCACACTCCTGGTTGCAAAAATGGCGATATCGACTTTAAACTTGGCAGAAACATTTGATGTTGTTGCATGCCGCTTGGTATTAAAAATGGACCAGATTGGTCACAGCAGACGCCCGCAATGGACGCAATTCCGTTTTTCTCAACAAAAGTTTGTGCTTTTTCGGGTTCATCGCTTAGAAGTTATAGAAGTCAGCAAGTTGAAATTTTCCACATGCACATTACGAAACGCTTTACGTAACAGTGATTAAACTTTATTTTTCTAATCTTTTCGAAGTTTTGTGCTTATTTATCATAAAGCAATCAAGAAAGAATGTTTGAAACTATTTTGGACATTCCTCAAATGTATATATATATATATGGCATGGCTCAAAATGGATTGATTCTAAAATGAAATATGGCAGAGACCGCGATCTGATTGAATAATTTCTTTTTAATAATATTAACGATATGGGTATCAAATAAAGGGACTCGAAGAGTAGAATGCGAGAAGCTAAGTGTAGTAATTCTAAAATAATTACGGTGCTCGTCACGATGTGGTAGATTCATTCTTTTTAAAAATACCTTTTAGTGAAATAAAAAGTGAAAGAAAAATATTATCCGAATCAACTCATGTAACAAATATAACTTTCTTACTTGTTTTTTTTTGGCAGTAAGTAAACGCACTCGATACACAATGGTTGCAAAATAAAGAGATGCATTCATTGTTAAATTCTAAGTTTGTTACATCACGAATTCATTTTCCTCAAAACATGAGACGGTAAGTTTCCAGTTTTAATAGCCATCCACTACAACAAAGAAATAGAGAACTTTTCAATTATAACAGCCAAGAAAGCATTATTTACCTTCAAGCGAACCTTCAATACCGTGATTATATAGCGCAAGTTTGCGACCGAAGTTACCGCAAAACAATGCTTATATATATGTACGCTCTTATATATTTGCGTATATATAGTTTTTAGTTAATGTAGTAACCCAGTACCGTAAGTACCGTTAAATAGATGATTTAAAATACGATACATATGATACGTCATAATAATGAGCCAATGGATCTTCGCTTGTGCTCGCCACCATATACGTCGTATATAAGTTAGCGGTGTGCGCGAAAAAATTCACCAGAAAGCGAAGATAACTTTTAACTCGCTATTTGGAGCGGCCGTGTTCATAAAGGGCGTACGTTATATTTTCATTGAAATTTTAATTGCTTTTGTTCAATAACAGTACGTTCGATCAGCAAAAAGATTGCAGCTCAAAGTTGTTTTTGTACAGTAGTATTGTTTGCTAAATATTAATTATGAGCTATGGCCAGCGGTTATGGAAAATGTGTATGTATTTGCTGCGTGTATTAGAGCTGCGTTAACAGAAACTGCACACAAACGGTCGTATAAGGAGGATGGGCTAATACTGTCCAGAATTGTGTGCTAATTAATAATACAAAACGGGTATGTTTTAAATAGCATATTAGGGTGGATGAGACGATCTACATTGATGGCTATTTGAGCTGCCTGACGTTTCATCAAATATGCATGACAGTCGGCGATGTAGAGGCCGAGTTCCGATTTTGATAGCGAATTTGTACTCGTTGCAGTTGTGTAACCTGTTTGAATGTTCTTGACGCCGTCTCTTTATAGACAAATTTCCTATCGATTGAAAATCGAAATATCTTACTCGCTTTGCAACGCACC